TACAAAAGTATTGAAACTGTACTTTAAGAACAGGGACACAGAGCTAGGGCTAAGATTTGCTCCAAGCTTCACTTTCCATGAATCAATTAAAGCAATTGAACATGATGACAAGCGCGCGGCAGAATCAGCACTGGCTGTACAAACCCTATATTGTTAAAGCCACAAACACGACGCGACGAACAGTTTATCCCGCAAATGGTGAAGAAGTTACTGATCTCGTACAAGATACTGAAATGACAATGCAGAAACTGAGTCGACCCCTGGGCAATAGTGCGACTGGAAGGATTAGGTCAATTGAAAAAATCGACCTCATCAGGACTCGAACTCGCCACCTTCCGGCTTGTAGCATAGTGTCTCAACCAACTACGCTACCCTCACCCCACCCCAAGAAACTGACATAAATGAATCAAATAACATGACTACAGCGTGTATTATGTATTACTTAAAAGGCAATTACAATGTCCGGCTCCCATCAGTGACTTTACAGTGACTGTACCTGAAAACGCCAAGATAAAAATTGACATTTTATATTATGCATTTGAACAGAATTAAAGACACAAAACTGAGAACTACAGTGAGCTAAATTAGTCATAATCTGATTTCCACAATTTCAGACACCTATTTTGGAGCAGTCAGGCAGGCACAACATCCAAACATTTGAATATTAGACTGCAGTACGTCAGGAAGTACACTAATGAATGGTTCTCATCTTCCATGTGAAGCAGGCTCGGACATTTTCCCGCAGCTGACGAAAGATTTTTTTTTTGTCTGGACAATCGTCATAGAACACTGTAGGCCAACAGGGATATATGCAGTCTGCCTCGATGTATTTATTTTAAACTGATGGAGTTTCATGAACCATATTTAACGATAAAACTAATGACATCTTAGGCAGCCAGACGAGGGATGATGATATCAACAAATTACATTGCACGTTGGGATTTACTGTATGATTGTTGATAACTTACTTACCTCTTTTGGTTTGTTTTGGACTTCATCCATCGTCTGGTATGTAAAAGACAAAAGACCATGACGTTTCGGAGACTGGATCTGTCTCCGTCTTCAGGTGGGTAGGGAAGGATAAACCTACTCAGTTGGGCCCGTTAGAAAGAGCTAGTCTCAATCACTAGACCTTACCCTCTACCTAGTGGCCGCGCCACAGCTCAAGCGGTTAGTCGCTGGCTTCCCACCGCGGCAGCCCGGGTTGGATCCCGGGTCTGGTCAAGTGGGATTTGTGGTGGACAAAGTGGAGCTGGGGCAGGTTTTCTCCGAGTACTTCGGTTTCCCCTGCCAATCTTCATTCCACCAGTTGTTCCACAATCAACCTCACCTATCATCTGGGGCTGGTACAATAGGCCAGAAGTGGCCGCAGTACAAGGGACTTAGTCCCACCCCACTAGCAATAAAAAAATACGCTCTAGCTGTAATCATCTTTTAAGTTAAACAAAATGGCATAAGATGGTGTAGTTGGTACTTCTAAACCACTTACGAGTAAGACAAAATGCCACGAGGTGGCACTTCAAATGCTTCTGCGGTAAAATATATCGATACGAGCCCGTCAGAAGCGATTCAGAACAGAGGTGTTATCGATCGCTTGTGGGAGCGCGATATCAGTTGCGTACTGCCGGCCATGATAATCCCTGTCGTTCCACTTCGATTTTAGGAGAAGCTATATTCGTTACAATTCTACGGCTCGCCTTTTAAGTTCCATCCGTCGTTCCCCCCTGTAAGATTATAGCATTATAACAAAATCCGATATTTTTTCCCATCGATAATGTTTGTTGACACATTCCGTTTTGGGTTAAAATCGGACTAAAATAAAGGACACTTTACATGAAAGACCTACATGCCTTTATGTGTGTATTTCGAAATTAACTCGCTAAGTACTTAAAGCAGCAAAAAATATTTGGAACTAAAACTGTAGATAAAAATAAAAGATACTTTTCATCCAATACACATTTTCCGGAAGTACAATGTTATTGGAAACAAGTGAAAATATCTGCTATGTAAAGCGTAACTCCCTAAATTGTATGTGTATGTACCAACCGTCTTACAGTGCACACAATTTCACCTTTCTCTTCACTACAGGTTTCGGCATCAGTGTGCCATCTTCAGGTGTGGTTTTATTTGCGTCAAACCATTGCGCTGTATGCCATCATGTCTCCTTTATAAAATTATTAAAATGTATATATGTCATGTATAATAATAAAGTTTATATATTATAACTTTTCAAGATTTATCATCTATGCGTCGCACTTCAAATTCAGTAATACAACGCACGCAGTCACAAGGGAAGGACACAACACAGGACACAATATACACAAGAATATAGGAAGAGTACTCCCATAGGAGAGGATTGACGTAACTCGCGAATTTGAAGTGCGACGTATAAATGATAAATCTTGAAAAGTTTTAATATATAAACTTTATTATTATACATGATATATATACATTTTAATAATGTTATAAAGGAGACATGATGGCATACAGTGCAATGGTTTGACGTAAATAAAACCATACCTGAAGATGGCACATTAGTGCCGAAACATGTAGTGAAGAGAAAGGTGAAATTGTGTGCACTGTAAGACGGTTGGTACAAATATACATCATGAACGTGAATCAGTGCAACAGGACGCTAAAATATAACATCCCTAAATTGTATTTTCGATCAAAAACGCCTTTCATAAAAAGTGCGAAAATTATACAAAAGTTCTTCTTTTCTGCAATGCGTGAATATTGCCGCAGTCTCTTATTTCTGATATTAACTAAATGAATCCTTCTCCGGACTGAATTCATACGTCTACATACCTACGTGCTATCGGAAAGTTCCCGGACTAGGTCAAAAAAGAAATGTTGACTTAACTTACTCAATTTTGGCTGCCAGCTCCTTCAAAACAGTCTCCTTTGGAGCGCATACAGAGATCCCATCGTTTCTTTCCACGCTTCAAAAACACCGTGGAAATCATTGTCCTTCATGCTGTCGAGTACCGCTTGCAGTTCCCTTCGGATGTCAGACTGTTTCAAAACATCGTCCCTTCAGTTTCATTTTCAATTTGGGAAACAAAACAAAATCACAGGGGGTTAAGTCCAGCGAGTAGGGAGGATGGGGAAAGAGAACCATGTTGTTAGTCACAAATAATGTACTTTTGAAGGACGTGGGTGTAGGCGTGTTGTCGTGATGAAGGAGCCAGTTATGGTTGCGCCGAATTTCCGGTTTTATATTTTCTCTCAAGTTTCTCTGTTGCGAAAGCGAACAACGTCAGTACATTACCTTCAGTTTCAAATGATAATTATGTACAGACAACATCAACACGTAAAAGTTAAATTTGTCCCTGTACTTATTTAATTAAGCACTACGCCATGAAGGCGCATGTGGGAGTGGATGTACAGAGCCACATTTTCTTGACCTTGACATTTGCTGGAGGTGAGTGGTCAGCTACACGCCCAGGCCGTTTTACCACCGGGGAAAGAGCCCCCGGTATCCATTGGAAAGGAGGCTGGGTGAGCCTCAGAGCCGGTCTAGACGACGTGGAGAAGAGAAAATTCTTGATCCTACCGGGACTCGAACTCCGACCCCTAGGTCGTCCAGCCGTAGCCAGAAGCTATACCGACTGCGCTCACGTAAACAATACAAATTCAGTCCAGACGGTAACCATAATTATCTTGAACATGAAGAGTTTATTAGTTTTCTTACGTTGGGCTAGCAAGTTGGGGCACGCGGTAATGCAGCTGGTTGAGGCATTACTCTACAAGCCGGAAGGTCGTGGTTTCGAATCCCGACAAGGTTACTGGATTTTTTCAATTGACCTAATTCTTCCAGCCACTCTATGGCTCTGTGGTCGACTCAGCTTATAACAGAAATGAGTACTAGGAATCTTCCTGGGGGGTAAAGGGCGGCTGGCGCGTAAGGCTGACAACCTCGCCGCCATCTATGAGCCAATTTCGTAGAAAATGTGGGAACCTCGACGTCTCACAAACCTATGGACCTCCACGGCATCTGACAGGGATAGCATTACCTTGTTAGGCTAGCAAGGCGGTTGAATGGTGAGGTTGGTCCTGCTCATGGTTATTTTCAGCGTGAGGAAGTGAGCAGGATGACAGCTGCCTCCAGCTTCAGGGTAGCAAATCAATTTTTATGACGCATAGGTTGGTGGTCGAGTGTAGGAATGGGAGGTGGTGGTGCCCGGCAGGAGTTGTATGGACATTGAATGGGACCACGGAAGTTTTCAATCACATCTCTCGACTCACAGCCTTTACAAGTCCGGATGAACACCCGCACAGCACCAGCGTCTGCTTCACCAAGAAGGTATATAACATGAAGACATTCGTCCTGTGCACCTCCACCTTGACAATGGAAGCAGCATAAAAACTTGCACCCCAGAGATCTCGAATCATAAGCATTCTTACTAGATATGGAGGAAACTCATGGAAAATAAAGGAATTCAGGACGAGATAATGTACACAAACAGCATACAATTTGTGCAAGTAGGACTAACAATGTTTAATTCAATCATTCTCTTAACAGTGTTCGTTGTATTCAGATTCAGCACACAGACGCAGACACTGATTGTGATATAAAAACAAACTCCGCAAGCGAACTATACCGACTGAGCGACCGCCGCTTGTCAGCGAAGTTAGTGTTAACTTTAGCGGAGAGAGGATTTAGCGTGGTCAGCGCAACGAATCCCCACGGCCGTTAATCTCGGTTTTCTAGACACGATCCGCTATTTCTCTTAAATAGCTCCTCAATTATCCTAACGAGGCTGAGTGGGCCCCGTTCCAGACCTACTGCTTCTTGGAAAATCTGGTAGCGCCGGGAATCGAACCCGGACCTCTAGATCTGTAGCCAGGAACTCTGACCACTAAACCATAGAGGCGGTCAAAATAAAGGAGAAGAGGAAGAAGAGAAGGCAAATGAAAGGGGGAGGAGANCACGTGGGATTTCCTTATTAAATAAAGATAAAGTTGTCCTTTTGCTTAACTAATTAAGCACTACGTCATGAAGGCGTATGGGAAGTTAATATATTGTTTGGCTATTCCAAATGACATTTTTATAAACTTCGAACTAATCAATATGGCAACTTACAATTTCTCAAAGATAATGACATTCAAATAATTCATCTATCCACAGATTTAGATGTAGAAACACCGTTCGTAACATTCAGCACTTCAGTTCCAACTAAATTAAAGAGATTTTGTACCATTTAATTTTGATTTAAGTGATTATTCAGACAGTTCGAATTTCTGTTTCTGTAAGAAAATTTACTTTACAGCATTGTTGTGGATGTTTCATTTCACCCAGCACTTTCAGTTTATTGTTTCTCAAGTACAGCTCTTCAAGGTTCGGCAGTGACATCACTTCCGGCGGTAACTGTTGAAGCTGGTTGTAACTTACGTCTAAAATCCTTATATTCATCAAAGACCGTCCTGGCCCTTCTGTTTTGGTTGACATAGATTCAATTTCATTATGAGATATGTATAATTCCTGCAATTTCACAACTTTCTCCAAATTCACAGCAGATAACTTACGTAGGTTACAATTTTCGAGATGCAGAACCAGCAGACTGTCGCTTTCCAGGAGAGGCGCGTCTTCTGTCACTTGAATTTCTCCGTTGTAAGATAAGGACAGCCACTGCAGACGTGGAGGATACACGAATGTCTTGAGGGGGATGTTCGTGAATTTATTTCTCGACAGATCTAATTTCTCTAGCCCACTCTGTGCAATTAATGAATTCTCGTTGATAATACTTATCACATTGTTGGATAAATTCAGCCGCCTCAATGAAACAATCATCCATTTCCTGATAGTGTATTCGTCTAACCTGGTGATATTATTTCTGGAGATATCAAGTTTCAGCAAGCTGCTAGGGAACCTTCCTTCCGGGAACTCAGTGAGGGATGAATCCACGCAAGTTGCTTCAGTGGCGTTGCAGATGCATGCAGCCGGGCACTGAACCTGCAAACCGCAACCTACTTCCGCCATGCAGACTAATAACAGAAGCTGCATGAGAAACATGGTATTCACGCTTCGGAGGGTAACCGGCACTGCATGATGTCACCACAGTCCACACCAAACCTGTTATCAGCCGGTTAGCTCCACCCATTATTACAGCACAGTGAAACTGCAGCCATAGATAAGCAGCGTACAAAATACACCATGGACCAGAATCCTTCTTCGGAATCTGAGAGTAGCTGAACAAAAATGTTCTGCCTATTTTAATAATATCCTGCATCTACATACATAGTTATCATACGTGAATTCTCCGTTCACGCTCTCTGACTAAAATACTGTGCGTCTCTCTCACCTCTGCCATACTTCTTACACGCCACGCACCTTTCGTTCTCCTTCATCTGAAAAAGTAAGTAAAGCTATCCCGGTAACAGACCGTGAGGGCCCATAGGGTTGTGAGACGTTGAGGTTCCCACATTTTCTAGACAATCGGCACAAATGGGAGGGACTTTAAGCTGTGTGTCCCGTGTCGTAACTTTACGGCACGTAAAAGAACCTCATATCCCCAAAGGGGATCACTGAGCCAAATTCCAGGACGTTTCCCGCCCAACTATAGTCTCTAAGGCCTCTGATAGATGGGGGAAGCATTATAGACACCGCTAAGCAAGTGGCCGAACTCGCTTGCTCGGCGGGACTGATGGTACGCACCATTTATCGGTAGGGTAAAGAGACTGGTAGAATATCATAGAGGGAAGCACAATAGATCAAACTGGTCGCGGTGCATGGGGAAACCCACCCTCTCTAAATAACTAACTAACTAGATGGCGGCAAGGTTGTCAGCCTTAAGCGTCGGCCGCCCTTTACCCCCAAGAACATTCCAAGAATATTCCTCGTACGCATTTCTGTTAGAGGCTGAGTCGACCCCAGGGCCATATTACGGCTGAAAGGATAAGGTAAATTGAAAAAAATCCACCTAATCGTGATTCGATCCCGCGACCTTCTGGCTTGTAGCATAGTGCCTCAACCAACTACGCTACTGCGTCTTACCCTTCCTTCATCTGATCATTTTAAAATTGCAAGTTGAAGGCTAAAAATGATTAATTTCTTCATTTTCCTAATCCTTCTTCATTCTCTTTCTCTCTCTCAGATTCAAATACACTCCTCAGGGCTCTGTTCACTGATGTGCCTAATCTACATTCTCCTCTCTGGCCGGGAGACAGCTTCATCGGCAATTGAGAACTTTCCTGCCATGATGCACATTGTAACCCCAACGACTAAATCGTTTCTACAGGCAGAGCTTCGGGTTATGTTTGTCAGCCACAAGGCGGCAGTCTCACTGTGCGTCTGAACCGAATTAAGTGTATGAAACTGAGAAGCGAAAGGTTTCAACACAGCCGTAACCACTTACACAGTTGAACACATTTGATCTTTACTATTTCAGAAATTTGTTTTAAGTAACCATGAGGGTATAACATCAAAACATTTAGAAATGAGTTCATGTTATTTTATTTTGTCCATCGTCCCGTATTCTAAACAACGTAACGTTTCAGATGCTCGACTGTTTCCATCATCAGGTGCGTGGTTTGGAGACACGCACTGTGTTGGGACCGTTTTAAAGAGGTGACCTCGATCACTGGACAGTCTGTCTCTGTATAACTGGATATGTAATTATCTGATGTTTGTTAACGGGAGACCGCAGGAGAAAGTACAATACAGATAAAACTGAAAACAACTGGGAAACATTTCATGACATCACAATTGTATCCACGTATTCAGAAATATCATTCCATTTAAATCGTCCCTATGATCTAATTACGTCTCAAGACATCGAAAGATTAACGATACAACAACGAACGGGTTGTGACCTTTTAACTAAAATACGGATAGACAAACGACGAAGAAGACAAGTGTGCAGAAGGGTTTTATGTATTCCTACAGAATAGGACAAGTTGCTTTAGATGCTCTTCTTTCTTTCACGTGTCTTGTGTAAAACATAAATTTAAGCTTGTCACAGGCAAACTTTTCTAGGTTCTAGGCATTTATTAGATATGAATATTTTACTCACGCACAAGCCTTTGTCTTAACCACAAATAATATGATGGTAGCAGGAAATGGACAAAAGTTTGAACATCTTCAAATAATAATTGATTAGTTATATTTAACATCACAAATTTCGTGAAATTTATCAGTAGTCTAGTATTCTGAACCCATAAGAACATTTCGGAAACAGAACAGATGAAAGATAGGAAGATAGCTACTCAGTTTCTTCCGATATAAAGTTCTAATCTCAGTCACAGACAATCGATCAGTAAACTAAGACAACATAAGCCACTAGGATCAGATTTTTCATGGAAGATATAATAAATAATTAATAATATAAATAGTAAATATATCCGTAAAGACCTAAAGATTAGACACAAATGGAAGCAAAAAGCATAGAACTAAACAATTTATAACTCATTAATTATCTCAGTCCGTTTAACAAAGACTGTTTCATGCAGCCACTTTCACAATTCACTGTCCTGTATCTGTTGCTCAGCATTCACGCTTTCCATTGCTCCTGTGTTTCCACGTATCTCTTCGTAACGTCTTCTAAACTTACATATACGTGCAACAATATATATAACATTTATCAATAGAAGAATTGTCCCTAATATTAGTAAAACAATCAACGAATATGTTGAAAAATTGTTCCCTATTGTGGTTGGTGTAGGCATGTGGATGTTTGTTGCTGTTTCTTCTGTGAAGTCAGTGACAGCTGATGTCGAATAAAATGATATTCTGCGAAGCATAGACGTAGGTTGGATATTTGTTGCTGTTTCTTCTGTGCCGTCAGTGACAGCTGATGTCGAATAAAATGATATTCTGGGTAGCATAGACGTAGGTTTCCCGGCGGCCTCTTCGATATTTCTTGAAGTACAGTCCAATTCTGCTAAAAATTTCCGGGATAAGTTTCCAACCTTTAAAGGCTCTTTACAGGTAAAGCCTGAGAACGTTGACCCTTGCTTAGATATGTACTCTAAAAAATGCTTCATCTTGCAGTCACAGTGCCATGGATTATTGTCCGCTTTTAGTTTCAGGACCGATGGAGAAGACTCTGGCTCCAAGCACGATTCCAAATTGTCGATTGCAAGATAATCACCAACACTTATATTTCTGAAGGAAAGATCAATATGTAAAGAAGTTAGGCTGTTGAAACTTATATCTAAACATCTAAGTTGTTTCAGCGGACCGAAAGTTCCTGGTTGAATACTGCGAATTAAGTTATTAGACAAATTCAAATATCTAACTTTTTGTGTACCTTTGAAAGTTTGCTGAGAAATATAATTCACACTGCAATTAGATAAATCTAGAAACGTGAGTGCACACCCGTAGAAGAATATACCCTGGGAAGGCAGAGTGAAGAATTTGTTGTCAGCCAAGGATAGCCAGAATAACTTCTCGGTGTAACTGAAAACATCCGGATGGATGTATGTCAAATTATTTCCAGAAAGATCTAATCGTTCCAGTTCTGCAAGTCCTAAGAACGCCTGCTGCTCAATGCACCAAATCAAATTGTTAGCCATGTTCAGCTTCACAAGTTCCGTGACGTTTAGTTCAAGAAATGTCCCGTTATACAGGTACATCAGGTCGGAATGCGATAAATCCAGTTCACGCAGCCTACTGCTTCCACTGGAGTCTCGTAAAACACGCGATCTCGCGCTGGAGCAAGGCCCTGCACTGCTTCCAGGAGTCACTTTTTGGACACACAGAACTACAAAAACAATGGGCAATGAAATTTGCATGTTTACTGATATCAATAAATCCTGTCAGTTATCGAGGGAAGAAAGCGTCAATGTGTTTATGCAAAATCGATTTATGAAATCGATATAGCACACGCGACTAGAAGAGAACACATCAGCCACTTGGAACGCTCATACACAACTAACACCGGCAAGCAAGTAAGGGTTAACAAAATGGCGCACAGATAAGGAAAGCAAATACAGTTCACATGTACAAGAATACTGTAACTATCCCTGAACTATTCGCCGTCGCTGCGTGCTAATGTGGACTGAAATGCAAACATATATAATAATGAAGGAATTAAGAAAAAGTTCAACAACATTTCCACCTAGCTCGGGCTATTTTTCGGTAACAACACGTGGAATATTTTAAGATTTTAAACAATTATTTCTGCTGTCTTTCATAACAAAATACTTGAGCATCAGTTGATCTCAGAGATATTGGGTTTTCGGACTTTATCCATCGTGCTGGTTTTTAAGATAACTAAGAAAAAACACGACGTTTCGGAAACTGGAATCACTCAATCAATCAATCCAGTGATTAAGGGTAGCTCTTTCAAAGGGACCCAACAGAATAGGTGTTTTACCTCACCTGTTGACGGAAACAGATCCAGTTTCCGGAACGTCGTGTTTTTTTCTTCTTTTTTTCTTAGTTATCTTAAAAGCCAGGACGATGGATACAGTCCGAAAACCCAATATCTCTGGGTGTTATACACCATCGTCAGAATCCTATAGTAATTATCAGTTGATCTGTATTTCCAAATACGCACTGCTAAACCACTACAAATTTTCCCACATATGGAGTTAAGCTTACGAGAAAATTGTACGATTTGTTAGTATTACAGCAGCAGTTGTGAAGCGTTCTGTCTTCTGGAATACAAAGCCGTTGTAATTACGAAGAAATATTTCTCCCCCATCTTCTGGGCTGCTTGATTAATGTTGGTTTTCTACTTAGCTTACTCTCCATAACTGAAAATGAAGGCGACATGTTCTTTCGAAAGGTCGGCTGAGTTTCACGGATTACGTGGCGTTACAGCCCAGAACACGGGTCCTTATAAAGAGAAATATGTTAGATAAATCTCCGCTTGTTGTTGATATCGGCTATGTTACATCACAATAATGACTGCAGTCAGTTTGTTAAACTCCGTGGCCTGTAGTCGGCAAGTGGACTATACCAACCGAGAGCCCGCCGCTTGTCGGGGAAGTTAGTACCAACTTTTACGGATAGAGGGTGTTGCTGGTCAGTGCAACGAATCCCCACGGCCATTAATTTCGGTTTTTTAGACCAGAGCCGCTATTTCCTTGAAATGGCTCCTCAATTTTCCTCACGAGGCTGAGTGTCCCCGTTCTAGACCCACTACTTCTCATAAAATCTGGTAGCGCCGGGAATCGAACCCGGACCTCTGGAGCTGTAGCCAGAAACACTGATCACTAGATCACATAGGAGTAAGTGTACTAAAAGATTTTTTCTTTGTTGTGGCTGGTCTATAGGATAACAAATTCTAAATCAATTCTAAAAGATTTTCCTCCACACTAAAAAATCAATACCGTGGTAAAATTTTAAACGGCAAATATCCTCCATAGTGTAAAAATAATGCCCTTACTGAATTAGACAGATAAGGCTTATCGCAAACTGATAAAAGCGCCTCCTTCCTCCCATAAACTTTGCTGTAGAGAATAAAAGTAAACGGAATCGACGTTGCCAAGAGAGCGATATCTTATTTACACTCTTACAAACAGCCCTGTTTTCGGTTTTCAGATAATAAGCAAGGTGACCAACTTCTGAGGAAAAAATGCACATACTTATACTGAAATCCGAGCAATATTTTTTGTATTTCTTACTTCCCAGACATAGCCTAGTAATAAATAATAGAGGGCCGCGCCATAGGTCAAGCGGTTAGTCGCTGGCTTCCCACCACGGCGGCCCGGGTTCGATCCGGGGTCTGGTCAAGTGGGATTTGTGTTGGACAAAGTGGCGCTGGGGCAGGTTTTCTCCGAGTACTTCGGTTTTCCCTGCCAATCTTCATTCCGCCAATTGCTCCGCAGTCACCCTCACCTATCATCTATCTTCAGGGGCTGGTACAAAAGGCCAGAAGTGGCCGCAGTACAAGGGACTTAGTCCCACCCCAATAGCAATAAAAAAATAATAAATAATCGAACTCCAGATGCTCTGGAGTGTGATAAGTATCTCTCTCTTCTGTCCAAAGTCATTGCCAGAACTTAGCCCCTCTGAAACAGGTCTGCAGTACACTGAATCTGAGACTAAACTCTGAATAGATCTGGCTAAACCGCTCAAGGAAACAAATTCAACAGAAAAAAAAACAATTTCTGTGTCTTTATAACTGCTTTCAAGTTTTGAAACACTGAAAACGATCAGTGACAATGCGGTTATATAAAGTATAGATAAATATATCCAAAGGCTAAGGATATTAAACAACACGTTTTTAAATGACAAATTCCAGAGGATGACATAAACGACTACATATAAAATATATTTCTTTACTCTCATTAAATCGCATAATAGGTCTGTACCACACAGACCTCATGAATAAAATAACTGTTCAATGACCAGTGACTCTGTACTCGTATNAAATAAAATCCATTAAAATTTTCTATTAAAATTTTAATTAATTTGGTGAAATTCTATTCCTCCTCACAAGGTGTGTAGTCCAATTATTTACAACTATATGTTTCTCTCCATTTGTTTTATTGCAGCAGTTTGTTTTTATGTTCGTTAGCTCGTTGTTATGTTACGTCTGCAATCTGTAATATGCTCCTTGTTTGTGTGTTGTTCCCTTCGGCAGCGCGTGGTGTTGACTTCACTAGCGCAGTTGCACTAAAATACAGCATATATGAAAGTATGAAAATGTTGGTACTTTCCAGCTACGTATGTTTAGATGGTGATCCCTCAGGCAGTATTGCTAACATTGGCGTTATTATTGGGATCAGCACTATCCCTTCTGATTACGTGGTTCCAAAGTTATGACGTCGCATTTGTCTTCCTTTGTGTATCAACAAAATTGTGAAATTAAAAGAAAACGTTAAATACATTTCAACATGCTACAGAATTTCAACACCACGTATTACTTGACACTTCCTTCAGTGCTACCTCAGTTTCACACGGTTATCATGTCGTTATTGATGGTCGGGGATAAGTAGGTCTCAGTGTTGACTAACACCTATTTGCGTGATGTTCAAACCGAATATCACGAAAATCTGTGGCTTGATTAAACGGATGGACACATAGAAGGGCATAATATGCTAGCTTATCTACATTTTCTTAGAAAGTAAAATAGCATAGAAATAATAATTACCCTTGCACAAATAGTCAGTACTTGAATCTATAGAACATCCGTAAGAATACTCCACAAGAGGTTCTGCTCACCTAGACGAACACAAATGTATATTGCTAAGAAACTGGAAACTAATTGAACACGAAGTTTCTAAACCGCTAATATAAAAACCAAGAATAAATTCTGTTTCCCTTCCATGCTTATAGTCTAAAAACCCTAAGATCCGTCTAAAATACTGTGGAATATTTGCTCAAAGCAGGAACTGTGGAACCAGAAAAACAGCCATTGCTACATAACAGCTCTGTAATACGCAATAATGGTGTACGTGTTGGAAGCGGTGTTTTCTGTGCAGTCTTTGTCAAGGCTATATAACGAGGACCAACTGCCATGACAGGATGGTTTTGAGAAGGCAGTTATAAAAGTAGGATGTAGTTGTGAGATGGCCGCCAGCCAGCAAGTATATGAACAGAGGAACGTCCACTGTTGGGAGACGTTACTAAGGAGCGCAGTGAAGACCGTGACTGAGCACACTACTTTGTGTGCGATAGTGATGTGTGAAGTGTAGTCACGAGTTGTAAAAGTGTAAAATAAATCCAGTTACCAATCCAAACCTTGTCTACAGTCACTCTCGATCACGTGACAATATTATCCTACTAGACTCTTCTCTATGACCACTTCTAACAAACAGGACAATGAAACTGAAGTTTTACTTACAACTTCAAGTTCCTCGTCATGTAATATTCTAAATGGCCCACTAAATTTGTCTTTCACAGTACCATATAAACCCAAACTCTTGTATTCGTTATTCTCCTATAAGACATCCAAAAACTGATGCCGGAAGCAGCGTCATCAGCAGCGACTTGAAGCACAGAGCAAATGATGCTCGAGATGGTTCAAGTTCGTATAGCAACAGGCGTGACCAGAGTGGTTTGAACGGCTGCTGTACTGCGATATGGAAAGCAAATGGAAAAACTACCACATTATCACTTTTCCTGGATAGTCTCTTTCCAAAAACAGAGATACCATGTAAGAGAGATATTTTCTCTGGAGACAAAACAATCCGGAGGGGCGGATAGAAGTGACCAGAAGAAGAGGAAGAAGACGTAAGAAGATGCTGGATGACCTTGGGGACAGAAGAGGATATTTTATTTGAAGGAGAAAGCTCGAGATTGCATTAAGTGGAGGAACTGTTTTGGAAGAGACTGTGGACCTGTCGTATGACAGATTACTGATGAATGAATGAGAACATCCATCATATTCATTTTCCCATAGCGTTTTTGTCCCATTAAAATACTGACCGCTTGTATCTTGGTAGTCGGTGTTCATTTCAACGAATTATAAAATAAGTATACTTTTTGCCATCAACAGAAATTTTGTCACGCACATCCACCCAATGGAGCCGGAGTAGTGTAGCCGGTATAGCGACTGTCTACGGGCTGCACGACTGAGCGGTCGGAGTTCGAGTCCCGGTAGGGTCAAAAATTTTCTCTTCCTCAAATTGCCCAGACAGTCTCTGAGGTCCATCCAACCTCCTAACCAATGGATAACGGGTGATCTTTCACAGGAGGCAAAGCGGCCGGGACGTGAAGCTGATCACTCACCTCCAGCTAGTGTCAAGAACAAGAAAATATGGATCTATATATCCACTCCCCCATACGCCTTCATGGAGTAGTGTTTAATTCGTTGAGCACAGGGACACCTATACCAACTTTCACACCTACCCAATATCACCGTACTACATACGCTGCTACATGTTTTGATCCATGTTTAATGATCATCAGGCAATTTCTAAAACACGTCGTTTGTTATTGAATTGTCATAATATGGATCCAT